GTGTTCAAAAGAAAAAAGATGAAATCATATATAGGAAGAAGAGTGAAAACAAAAAAAGTGTGTAACTTGGTCAATTGATGGAAGTATCTTGTTGGGTGTGATTTATAGTCTAACTATGCCCCTTTGTTGACTAAAGTGGAGAAAAAAGTGAGTGTAAGGGGGAGAAGAAATGCATCATTTAAAAAGACACCATTATTTCTTTATTGTAATCATATATTCGGCCTAGATGTCAACAGATAAATAAACATAGATGCTTTTAAATACTTTCTTTCCCAAGTATCTTAGGATACTTAAAGAGCGCTTAAAATAGGATCCTAATAGGACCAAACCAGTTTGATGAAATGCAGTAAGAACAGTATTAATAAAGTAAAAAGAGGAAAGGAAAAATCCATCACACAGCACCACCACCAAATACTCAAATACATAGTGATTTTGTCTATCTCACTTTTTCTTGCTAAATATCCCAGAATGGAGTAAAACCAGACATTGGTTACAGGTTCAGTTTAAAAGAATAACCATATTACTACTTACAATTTAGACCCAAAATTTAACTACTGTAACACAAAGTTTTATAACTTCAGGAAAGAATAAAAGCTGGTAGGATACAAAATGACATCATTCTTCAAAATTGTTTTGACTCCTGGTGTATTGACTTCAAACACATCACCAAAAGCCATGTGGGAGAGTAAAAAGAGATTGACATCAGGCCCAACAGTGCGGAATTCCCAACCTAATCCAACAGTGTGGGATTCCCAACTCCCACTTAGGAAGGAAAGGAGCAGCCTTAGGGACGTCCCCTTAGCCTCCGTAAGCTTTAATTTCTTGAGCTAAAACTTGGAAGGGACAAACCTTCTATCATTAATGGGTGGGAACAAGTGAGAATTGTCTAGCACGAGGAAATCAACAAAACAGAACTATTATACATATGAACAAATGAACAAATGTAATATGCATTTATATACACACCTGTCAATGAGGTTACTGACGGAAAATTGCAATGTGAGAGGAAGAAAAGAATTGTTCCAAATGACCTATTGTTCAGAATCTTGAGCCTCAATAAATTACTAGACATGATTCAGTAAGATTTGCTTTAAAGACATGTTCATAACCCTTGGCTACAGAGAGGGTCTATAATTCAGATTACTAAAAATGAAAATTGAAATAAAATATAATCTTACAGGTAGGATTGAAAACATCTGCTCATCCCCAGGTGAGAAAAGGTGTGTGTGTAACTACTGATATTGATATTCCAAGTGTAAGAAGGTACAGGTTTGAGACTGAAAATAATAAACTTGGGGAAATGACTAGGCCAATTATGCCTTTGTTTTTTATAAAAAGCTTTTGTCAGAGAAAGTTTATCACAGTGGTGTATTTCCTTGTCGTAAATGTTTTTAGGCAAATTTTTGCCAAGTTAAAAAAAAAAGAATAAAAATCAGAAGGAAATATTTACCATTTTCATTATGTCGATCCTGAACCAAATGTTGATACACAGAATCTGGAACTTCAGATTGACGGTAGTACCATTTGACGTTCATGAGTAGATGGTCCCTCTTACTCTGAAAAGGAAAATCTAACAGCATTAGGAACAGGATTTGAGGTGCACATTGGTGCATATCATACCCATGATCAAAAGCCCTTGGAAACAGGTAGATAGGCAGAGAAGGTGACATACAGCTACCACCAGGAAGACAAAAATATCTAAGTTAACTATGAGGTCAAATTTTTATTAAAACAAAAATTCTAGCCAGAGCACCCCTTAACCCTCCCCTTCAAAGCTGCTTAAATTTCAGGAAGCAAAGGCCATTCTTTAGGTCTGTACATCTCCCTAGTTTGAGTAGCTGATTCATTCAACATTGTATTTCTTAAATTTGATATAAACTACTAAAAACTTCATGAGTGTATCCTTTTATCTTTATAATTCTGTTAAGTATGTATTTATAAAAAACAAAACAAAACTATTAACACACCCTTAAAGCTTGCTAAGAATAATGAGTTAGAAAGGACTTAACCAAGTAAGGCCTGCCATAAGTCATCCAAGGTTTGTCAACCAACCACCCTTATTGGATTAGAGTCTCCCCCTATGTTACTACCACAGAGCCTGGTAGTTATCACTATTCTGGAAGTCTAGTGTAACTTAAAACAATGGGTAGCGATGATGTAAGTTCACAGAACAGGGAACTCAGTCTTATTATACTGGAATGTCCAAAGAATAAGACAACTTCCACAATAATGTTTGTGAATGAAAAGTTCCATAATAATTAAGTATTTAATCCTTTTCTCCCCATAGAAGTGAAACCAGTCACTAGTACATTCAAAGATTTAAGTGATCACACAAAGCCCTTCTACTAGAAGGCTTTGGGGCTACAGCTTGAGGTAGCTCATGTCTGTGCACCTGGTCGTGAAACATTTTAGCATGGCAGTGCACTAAGATTTCCTAGGACTTCAAATACTTTTCCAACTCTGGTGGTGTCTTTACTGATGTCCCTAAGGTAAACCCATGAACATTCTTCATAGTAACCTCTACCTTTTCATCACAGGTCAATGGGTAGGTAGAAAAGTATAAGAGCTAAAACAAAGGAAAAAATCCTTCATTTTTATGAAGGCTAAATCCCAAAATAAATCCAAGTCTATACTACTGAAGGAAGTCACTATCTACTTCATGAGATCATAAATATAGTCTTCAATGAAAATTCAAAAGGGTTTTGCAAACCAAAATATTTATACCATTTAATGAACTAGAAAGGAGCTACTGTCAAAATTCTCCCCGCCCCCCAAAAAAAAAATTCTTGACTAAACTAAAATTCTAACCCAAGTTAAATATGGTGCACATCAATTCTCAGTTTGCAATTAAAGCATCAAATAGTCAGGTCTACAAAAATCGGGCACTGTCACGAGTTTTAATAAAATGGAGCATATACAAATAGCAATCCTATATAACTAGTGGTATTCTCATTTTTATTTACTATGTACTTTCGTATTAAAAGTTTTTAATGACAAAAATTATTCTACACAGTTTACACTGTACATGGAAAAAGGAGGATTAAACAGTATGAACAGCATAAACGCTCTGTGAAAGGAACAAATGGTTCCCCTCTGGGAATTTAGGCTTTGAAAACAGTGGGAAAGCTTCAAGGCAAAGGAGGAGATGAAGGAAAGATACAGCTATAAAGGGTATATGACAGATCCAGAGAGCTGTCTGGTTCAGCTGCACTAGGTGAGAGTGAAAAGAACCTGCATTCCACCTGTGGTTTGGCCAATAGTGAGCTTAAAGGATCTTTAATTGCCTTGCTAACGAAATACACAGGCAATCCAAGGGGCAACAACAACTAAGAGTGGACAAAGGGTAGCAGCTAGAAGCTACCATTTCTTTTCTAGGTAAGATGATAAAAGCCAAGAGCAGGCCGTCAACACTCATCACAGAAAGATAGAAACGTGGAGGAGGCAGAGCCTGTTTGGGGATGTTCCAGAGTTTCTCAACCTGAGCACTATGGCATTTGGGCTACATTTTCTCTGCTGTCAGGAGCCACCCTGTGCCTATATTCTTCCACTAAGCATCAGTGGCACACATCTCCCTCAGCTTAACAATCAAAAAGTGTTTCAAATGTGGGATAATACTGGCCCCGTTGGAAAACCCAGCACCACCTTCTAGTTCTGTGACTAGATTCCTTAAGCCCCGGGCTCATTCTCTGTAAAATGCGGGTACTGAAACACCTAAAACTACCACTGACAGCGTGAAAAGTGTGCAAAGCATGTGAAACTGCACAGAAGCATAAGAGCGTATCGACGACTTTCTGTTACTGGGTGATTGTAAGCAGTGTGTCAGGGAAATGTAGGAGTTTGGTGGGGTTTTTTGGTTTTTGTTTTTAACCAGAACATGGTTTCTCTTAGATGATAGCGATCTCTACTCATTACGCTTCCATGAAACCTTCAATGCTCACAATAATGAATTACTTACTGGGGTACACACAAATTCAGGTCTCTTTGCAGTTCTATCAGTAACGTTCGAAAATCTATACTTTATTTCTGAAACACAATTAAGATGCCTAAATCCCCAAAGGACAACAGAAATGCCTTTTCGGTGCAATAACCAGCAATTAATTATACAATGCCTATTTTTTAGAATCAAGTCAGTGAGTTTGCAACTGGCTGAATTATAGCATATCTGCTACTTTATGGCCCAGGTGCTTATTGATTGCACACAATGAAATTACTGCTCTGATTTATTTGTACCTGTATTTATGGCTCTTAATATTAAACTTTACAAAGGCAATTGAAGGACTATTGGATTTCCTAATGTAGTACTACCCAATAACCATTGAGTGGCAGCATTGTGTTTAAAAAAACCTCCAGAATCAACACACAAAGCAAAAATGTTAAAACAAATTTCAGCAGCTCTAATAGACACAAGCTTCCTATATAAGCATCAGTAAACGGAAGCTAAACATCTGTAAAAAAAGGAAGTGAATTGTTTGTTTGGGTGCAAGACAAATTCAGGTCATCAATAGGATTCTAGTCCTATAAGCAACACTTTTGCTGGGACCTTGATCTATTCAACGCACCTAATAATGAATATGAAGGGATGGATAGTATAGGTTCTTTTCTATTCTTGTAAAATTATATTGATAAAATGGGTAGGGGCTCTTTCTCTAAATTAACACAACATGAGCTAACATTACCACCCTAAAGCCTAAAATACTCATATTTCATCTTCTAGGGGAGAGAGAGAAGAGGAAGAGCAGCTTCCATGGAGTGAGGCTGCACTGACTGAGTAGTAGCTGACAGGAACATGGAGGACACCCTCTTTCAGTAAACATGGCAAATCAGCCTGAGGTGCGGAGTTTTCCTCAAACATAAGAAATCTTCATCTTCTTCCCTAACATACAATCACCACGGAAAGCACCAGAAAGGTCCTTTAAGGATCATTCCATACAACCTAACTACCTGAACTGGATCCTGCTTGGCAACTTACTCAGTTGCCAGCAAATTATTTACCTTCTTCAAACCTAAATTCTCTCATATAAAAACGAAGGATGGGACATGACATCAACTAACAGTCTCTATTATGATGTGAGGAATAAATCAATTTATATACGTAGAGTGAATTCACTCTGAACAAATGTTGGCTTTTACTATTATTCTTTAAGAGATGAAGAGGTGATACAGAATTAGTAGCATCCTACAGGTTTTGCTTTTCCCAGATTCAAAATTATGCTCAATTGGATATCCCTCCTCATAGAAGGGTCACAAGGAAGGGATGAGCCAGCCAGGGTGCAGTACAGCACTATGAAACACGCAACATTCCTCAAGTTCTTTAATGTGCGTGCGCGCACACACACAACTATCATGACCCCAGTTCTATCTTACAAATCTGGCTAGACCAGAGCAAGTACACTAGTACAGATAAGACCTCTCAATACACAAAATGCAGGACAAATAAACCCCTCAGGAACAATTATAAGAGTAGCAAAAGCATGAGAGTAGGGGAGAAAGAGTTGAAAAGGGTAACCGATGGCAATGATGGACATACAACACACACACACTCACCCCCGAGGGCAGGGACATGAACAACAGAAACATGGATGAAGGGTGACAGATGGTGGACGGTGAAAAATATGAAAATAAGAATAATTGATAAATTATCAAGAGTTCACAAGGGTGGAAGGATGGTGGAGGGAGGGGAAAAAAGAGGAGCTGATACCAAGGGCTCAAGTAGAAAGATAATGTCTTGGATGATGGCAATATATGTATAAATGTGCTTGATGCCATTGATGTTCTTACTGTGTTCAAGTACTGATTCTTCCACATGCCTGGCCTAGGGTGTTTTTTTGTTTTTGAAATGAAGGAAATGTGTAAACTGACACACGTGATGAGTTCAATAGAGGACAACACCTGCTGCTACTTGGGCCTAAAAAAAAGATACACTGCCTAAGCTCAAGTATTTCAGAGAACTAGAGACGTTTCCAAGAGTTCCGTAAATGCCGGACTACATTGTTGAGAATTAATTTTAAAAAGGCAGAACTTATACCAGCTATTGAGAATTGGATAACTGAGAAGGGTAGACTAAGGAATCACAAAACAACGGAGAGAGAAAGACAAATTGGTGATAATTACTGAAGGCAAGCATATTCATCATCTCAACACTACAGAACCCAGCCACCCCAATAGAAATAGAAGATCAAAGTAAACAGAATGCCCTTTCCAAAGACTTTTCATTGATTATTAACAAGGCTTTCTACTCCCAGCAAGAATGATAGTCTCAGAAACCCACAGGGGCAATTCTAGCCTGTCCTATAAGGTTGCTATGACTCAGCCACTTCATAGCAGTGGGTTTGAGTTCTGGGTTTCAGTTTCATAGATTTAAAGCGTTCTTCTGAGTCTTTCTCAAGATCAGTCTTAATTTTATCATCTGGAAAAGTGTCATTCACTGAAAGTGTGCATACCACCACAGAGGCAGTTAGCTTTATCTTATATGGTCCCTTTGAGTTGGAATCAACTAGATGGTAGTGAGTTTGGAGAGTCTGGTTAAGTCCTTTAGGGCCCAGTATTAAAGGCTTCG